TTGTCATTATCCTCCCTTGTATTTATCCATATGTTGTAGTTATCCTAATCATTATAGGATTAGGATAATCATCCCCTTATTTGTTGTAATCCTTATCTCCTAAGGAATATGCTTTATTCTCTTGTATATATATGTATGGTTGTAACCACGTGATTAATAAGATATACAGAGTTACAACAACCTTCTTTATTCCACAACAACAAAGACTTTCTCATGTCAATAATTCTTTAAAAATAAATTTCTTGAATAGGAGTTCATATAATTATATACTTAAAATATATTTCATGTAATTATAAACAAACTCCATGATAATTGCCCGAACAATTTTTTTTTTAACTTTTTCTATAACTGAGACTTGAAAGAAAAGAATCAAAAGATGATATTTCCATAAAGGGGGATAAATAAATAAACACGAGCATTAACAGTTATTAACACCAAGATGAAAACAGTATTTATTGACCGTCAACTGTATATAGGAAAGGAACCTTTATTTAACAGCTTCTTCTTTCTCCACTTTCCCTTTATAAAACACACCTTCCTCTAATTTTTACTGTTTCAGTAACCCATAGAGGAAATAAAAAACCAAACAATCACAACTCCAAAACCAAAACACTCTCTCTCTCTCTCTAGAAGCTTGCATTTAAAGACCCACCACTTGCTGTAGGTCTCTAGCGTGTTGAAGTCAAAAGTAGCCATTTCTCTCTCTCCCTCTCCCTTCATCTTCATTGATCGTCAACTAGAAAAAATGGCCAGAACCAGAAAACCCCTTGTTGTAATCTCTCAGATTCCTCAAGGGTTTTATTGATTTCTTCTGATTAAAAACACACTTCTTATTCTTCCCTCTGTACCAAAAAAAAAACATCATAAAGCCCTTTTTTTCCCCCTCTGTCCTTGAAATGCGTGTGTGTGCGGTCGTCACCCTCCTCCTCACAGAGCTACTACTCCTATGCTTCTTCTTCCACCCCTCGGAATCTCAGTCCCTCACGTGCCACCCACGTGACCTAACCGCCCTCCGTGACTTCATATCAAACCTCAAACCAAAACCAGAAGATTGGTCCATCAACAACGACGATTGCTGCAACTGGTCCGGAATCACCTGCAACAACAACAACTCCTCTTCAGACAACAACAGAGTCACCAAACTCGAACTCGGGAACAAAAAGCTGTCGGGAAAACTGTCGGAATCTCTAAACTCCCTAGATCAGATCCTAGTCCTAAACCTCTCCCGAAACTTCATCAAAGACTCGATCCCTCTCTCTATATTCAACCTCACAACTCTCCAAACTCTCGATCTGAGCTCTAACGATCTCTCCGGAGAGATCCCAAACACCATAAACCTACCTTCCTTACAAACTCTCGACCTCTCCTCAAACAAACTCAACGGCTCTCTCCCTTCTCACCTCTGCCTCAACTCCTCTAAAATCAGAGTTATAAAACTCGCCGTCAACTACTTCGCCGGAGAGTTTCCTCCGGGGTTCGGAAACTGTCTCTTCCTTGAGCATCTCTGTCTCGGAGTTAATAATCTCACCGGTAACATCCCTAAAGACGTATTTCATCTCAAGAGGCTAAACCTCTTAGGTGTTCAAGAGAATCGTCTCTCTGGTCCGTTGAGCTCTGAGTTTAGTAACTTAACCGGTTTGGTTCGTCTCGATGTTTCCGGGAACCGATTCTCCGGGGAGATACCTGATGTCTTCGAGGAGATGAGGGAGTTGAAGGATCTGTTAGCTCAGAGTAATAGATTCAGTGGAGAGATCCCTAAGTCGTTATCGAATTCACCGTCTTTGAATCTGCTTAACTTGAGGAACAACTCGTTAACCGGTTTTTTGGAATTGAATTGCACGGCGATGGTTGGTTTAAACTCTCTTGATTTAGGTACTAACCGGTTTAACGGTTTGTTACCTGAGAATTTACCGGTTTGTAAGAGGTTAAAGAACGTTAACCTCGCGCGTAACTCGTTTCATGGACAAGTCCCCGAGAGTTTCAAGAACTTTCAGAGCTTATCTTACTTCTCGTTGTCGAATTCGAGTTTGGTTAACATCTCATCGGCGTTGAGGATACTTCAAAGCTGCAAAAACTTGACGACTCTTGTTCTCACGTTAAATTTCCATGGAGAGGCTTTACCTGATGATGATGGCCCTCTCCGGTTTGAGAAGCTTAAGGTTCTTGTTGTTGCTAACTGTAGGCTGACCGGTTCAATGCCGAGATGGTTAAGCTTAAGTAATGATCTTCAGTTATTAGATCTTTCTTGGAACCGGTTAACCGGAGCTATACCGAGCTGGATTGGTGAGTTTAAAGATCTTTTCTACTTGGATTTGTCTAACAACTCTTTCACAGGAGAGATCCCAAAGAGCTTAGCTAAGTTACAAAGCCTCACGAGCCGTAACATCTCGTTAGATGAGCCATCTCCTGATTTTCCTTTCTTCATGAAGAGGAACGAGAGTGCAAGAGCTTTGCAGTATAATCAAATCGTTGGCTTCCCGCCAACGATCGAGCTTGGTCACAACAACTTATCTGGACCTATTTGGGAGGAGTTTGGTGATTTAAAGAAGCTTCATGTCTTTGATCTTAAGTGGAATAAGTTGTCTGGTTCTATCCCTAGCTCGTTGTCTGGTATGACTAGCTTGGAGGTTCTTGATCTTTCTAACAACCGTCTCTCCGGTTCGATACCGAGTTCTTTGCAGAAGCTAACGTTCTTGTCGAAGTTTAGTGTTGCTGGGAACAATCTCTCTGGGAGGATACCTTCTGGTGGTCAGTTTCAGACCTTTCCGAACTCGAGTTTCGAGTTTAACGATCTTTGCGGGGAGCATAGGCTCCCCTGTTCTGAAGATGCAGTGAATGGAACAACGACGTTGATCATACATTCGAGAAGAAGAAGTAAAGGAGCTGAGATTGGGATGGCGGTTGGGATCGCGTTTGGTTCGGTGTTTCTTCTCACTCTTTTAGCTTTGGTCGTGTTGCGTGCGCGGAGACGGTCAGGGGAAGTTGATCCGGAGATGGAAGAAGAGAAAGAAATAGAAGAGATGGGGTCTAAGCTTGTGGTGCTGTTTCAAGACAACGGTAAAGATCTCTCGTTCGATGATCTTTTGGACTCGACAAACAACTTCGACCAAGCTAACATCATAGGCTGCGGCGGGTTCGGTCTGGTTTACAAGGCAATGTTGCCAGACGGAAGCAAAGTAGCCATCAAACGGTTATCAGGAGACTGCGGTCAGATCGAAAGAGAGTTTAAAGCAGAAGTCGAAACGCTCTCGAGAGCGCAGCATCCGAATCTTGTTCTACTCCAAGGGTTTTGCTTCTACAAAACTGATCGGCTTTTGATCTACTCTTACATGGAGAACGGAAGCCTAGACTATTGGCTACACGAACGCAACGACGGACCATCTCTACTGAACTGGAGAACACGGCTTAGGATCGCACAGGGCGCGGCGAGAGGGCTGTTTTACTTGCATCAAGCTTGTGATCCTCATATTTTACACCGTGATATCAAGTCTAGCAACATTCTTCTTGACGAGAATTTTGATTCTCATTTAGCTGATTTTGGACTCGCGAGGTTGATGAGTCCTTACGAGACGCATGTTAGTACTGATTTGGTTGGGACTTTGGGTTACATTCCTCCTGAATATGGACAAGCTTCTGTGGCTACTTTCAAAGGTGATGTGTATAGTTTCGGAGTTGTGCTTCTTGAGCTTTTGACTGATAAGAGACCTGTGGATATGTGTAAACCGAAGGGTGGCAGGGATTTGATCTCGTGGGTTGTGAGGATGAAGAGTGAGGGTCGAGCTAGTGAGGTTTTTGATCCGTTTATTCATGGTAAAGAGAATGAAGAGGAGATGTTTAGGGTTCTTGAGGTTGCTTGTTTATGTTTAAGTGCAAACCCTAAACAGAGACCAAACACTGAACAGTTAGTCTCTTGGCTTGATGATGTTCAGAAGGATAGAAAAACTTCTATGCAAGTTTAATCTTCAGAGATTACAGTGTGATACAATGTGAATAGTTTCTAGAGAATAATTTGTTTCTTTGTTCCATTTGTGATTCAGATTTATATATTTAAGATACGAGACTGAAACATTATACAATGTCTGAGAAAGCTGAATACTCTTTTTGTATATTTTCAGAGATTAAAAGTTCTGTAACAGTCATGTGTTTCAAGCATTTTGAATAAGCAAACACACAGTATTTTTTTTTGTTTGTATAGTTATTTTTCTTTATGATTTGCTTTATGGATCTCAGTTGATTATGTTGGACCTTTGGAGATATTTAAAGAATATTAAAGGTGGTAGCTAAATTCTTTTTTGTCATTCAACGAAGAATTCATTTTTGGCCAACTAAAGTCAATGTTCATTAAGAAACCATTTCATCAACTTCATTTATGGGTGTGAAAATGTTGTTTCAACTCATTCAACCCAAAACATTCAAAGAGTTTGACTTTGTATAGTCAAAATATAACGTTTGCTTCTCTGGAAACGTTTGAATTTAACATATTCCAAACTTCTTTCTATTGATTTCCCAATCCCCAAAGAGCACGAAATTGAATAATGAAAAACTCTTTTACTGGTTATTAAATGTTTTTAAGAGTGATTTCATAGTCAAGATGTCTACTTATGTCTCTTTTCAACATTACATGAAAACAACAACAAAATCTGACAAATGAAGCACAAAGGAAAAGAAAAAGAAAAGAGCACTAAAGCTCATAATGCGTATATGATATATCTATCACTACGTTTCTTTTTTTTTTTCAACTCATATAGTGGGGACATCTCAAAAATGAACTCATTTTTTCTTTCATTTTCTTTTGTGTTTTGTTTGCTGTCTCAGTTATGATATTTGATTTAACTTATAGAGATACTGATCTCATAGGCAAGATATTTATGTATCTCTGGTGGACTTTATTAATTCGAGAGGGGTGATATCCTTGTTATTGAATAATTGATGTTCATATCATTGTTGTTGGGATAAATATTTATCTCTTAGAAAATTTGGGTATCTCCTATGATTTTAGTTTTTTTGACTATTGACGATGTGGCCTTATCACTAGACTTGAGGTGGGTTAAGTGAGTGGTCAAACGATTCGTTAGAGGAAGCCACTTTACTCATATTCGTATTTGTGCCATGTTTTATGTAGCAATATTAGAGAGTGAATGGTCGGTCATACATGAAAACCAAGATTTTTAGATTCATCTAGAAAGAAAAGGTTTAGATTCAACACACATGGACACAAAACCTCGTCTTCAAAAGAATGAGTTCTTTTCTAAACATGTAACTATTCTATAATAATAGTCATTTGCGCTTGAATAGTCAGGTAAGCTTATCTTTGCAGATGATAGAAAAAGCTGACTAATCAACGAAGTATGGCAAGGTAGAAGGAACTCCTGCCAAGTTTTTTTTTTGACGTTGAACACACTGCCAACAGGAACCTATTGCAATCTGAACACAAAGAGCCTTGCCGGAACTCTAACAAAAAAAGCTAGAGGTGGTAAGTTAAAAATGCTCAGGTGCTTCAAATATCGTGTAATCAGAATCAGACCGACTGCAAATAAAAAATCATACAATTTGATCACGTAGCACGGCCGTTAAAATAAAGACCAAGCACAACCGAACCACAAAACTCATCATCGTTAAAAAAATTAAAGTGTATTTGCTTCTCTCATCTTCAAATTCTAGATTTTAGTAAGGTAGAAAGATTAATTAAGTCATCAAACGCATAAAAGAGAGACTACCACTTTGACAACAAAATGTAGGTTTCAACAAAAACCTGAACAATCCTTCCATATTATAATGTATACATTTTTTTTCAAACATTTATTTACAACATTATGTATATAAAGGGAACAACAACCTTAGGCGTATTCATTCCCATCATCAACCAAACTGATCAGCTTTACATCCTTTCTTCATTTATTTCTCATGCTTTTCTCTGTGTTGGAACATGGTTTCTTGATTCGTCTGATCAATAGCTGTAGTGTCTTTACATTTCAGCGAACCTGATGGTATTGTGTAATGCCTCGCTTTGGTGGTAGCTTTCTCAAGATGAAGAGGACTAGAGACGAAGGTAGTATCTCTACCAACTGTAATTAAGCAACGAGGATCAGGTTACAAAATGTCACCAAGAAAAAATAAAAATAAAGCTAAGAGAGAGCTTACCAGGTAATATATGAAGTTAAGGATAGGGTGATCCAACACATCAAGGTTTGCCCCCTCGTCGAAAGCAGCAAAACACATCTAAACCATATATTAATAACATGACAGAAACTTAATTTGGTTTGTCGTTTATTATAAAGCTCACTACTACAATCCAATCAAGAAGGCAAGGATTATAGATATCATGTCCCTTACCATGATACATCTGATGAGGAAACACGTGAAGCATATGGTTGTCACGTAACCAACCTACCATACATAAAGAGAAAGGGGCTTAAAAAGTCAAGTTGCAGAAAGTAGTAAAATACTTGATCGGCTGTACTTATGATCTTGTACTATTGATATTTCACCTCTTGGAGCTTTTTGCGCCTTCCTTTAGATTCTACTGGAAAGCGTTGCAACATTAGGAAAAGCCTGCCATGAGATAGATATAAAAGGATATAGGATCAGGGTTTAATGCGAGGCTGTTATCATTTTCAATGGTACGCAAATGTACTTAGCTTTAGCACCAAGAGAATCTAGTCTAATCTCATCAAAGGCTAAAAGCAGAACAAGAATGCAAGCAAGATGTGCACAACTTTTATATCTCATTTCTCAATGGTGACTCTTACAAACAAAGTTCCTAGTAGAAATTACGTGACTAGTAATAAGAGAAACTATGGTACTCTCAAATGTAGTCCATTGATTTACCTTCCACCGTAAAGTAAAAATCCAAGGGCAGCGAACAATGAAGCACCTGCGATTATATGTTCACAAGAGCCGTGAGACTAGTCCCATGGATTGTGTATAACACGAAAAATCTAGAGTAACAATGTTTGTGTGAAATAGGATAGTAGCTAATTACCTGCAAAGAACATCTTTGATATAATCACCATAACTCGAACAGGCTTCCACCACAAAACCAACCAAAGAGCAATCTGGAAGTAATACATGGACAATCCCCATGACCCCACAACAACGAAATTAAAATTTCCAAATTTCAAAAGTATCTAGTATAGATATATACCTGAACAACATACACAACAGCATTAATTGTGAAGAAGCCTGGCCTCAATCCATCAGTGGACACCGCACGTGCCTATCCAAATCAAAGAGACTCAAAAACTAGAATCACAAAACAAACCAAAACTATATACACTAATCAGAAACTTACCTGATAATAAATCTCAGCCCAGAAGAGAACTAAAAGAGCATAGGTGGTGAAGAACGCAAGACTTGGAACGTCAAGCAATATATGTTGCAAAATCTACACAATAATCACCAAAGATTTGCACATTCAGAATTTTTTCTTTTTTAATATACACAAGATAAGGAAGATCCTTAATTAACCACCTCTGGATGCATGAACTGCACATTTCTCCTGAAGACAAAAACCACAGCCCTAACTGCATGAAGCAGAAGATAAACACAATAAAAAAAGCAATACACAAAAAAAAAAAACACCCACACACACACACACAGATAAAATCTAACGAACACAATATTAACAGTTTTCTGCAGCAACAAACCTCCATTCACGACGAAATTGAGGAAGTGGAAGACCTTCTGCGTCGTCCATCCATATTCCGGAACTCTGAATTGGATTCTCACAAGTTGTATCTACCAAAACACAAACAAACAAACAAACAAAACATTGATTCCATCGTCCAAAATGTTACACCAATTAATCCAAAAAGGCGTACACGCACGTACCACAGCGACGATTGAAACGATGCCGTATAGAACAGCGAGAGCGTGGAAGATGCGATCCTGCCAAATCGGAGACTCGTTTACGTGCGACCACCAACTCGAAGCTTCCTTGAGGTTCAACGCTTCCACAGCCGAAGAAGATGATGACATCGTCATCATCATCTCCGTCGCATGTTGCATAAGCTCCACGCCGCGGATTCTCATCTATGGAGAAATTTGATTTGGATCACGTCGGGGAAGGAGAAGAGAGACAGAGAGATTGACGAAAAAGAAATATAAAAAATAGTTAATTTGACCGGTGATAGCCGGTAACTTTATTTGGGAGATTGAAGCTGTTGTTGAATGTTGACTGACACGCTGCTCCACGTGGCACGTGTGGATAAAGAGCAACGCCAAGCTGGCTTGATCCACAAAAATATTATGGTCAAATATGATTGTGATGGACTGACGGTGATGGTTTATTTATATTCTAACTGGTCTACCTTGATTTTCAGGCCCAGCCCAATATAGAAAACTACTCGAACAACAACCTTTAGGCGTATATGTAAATTATTCAACTGGTAGTACAAATTTCTTTTAGTAATTTAAACCCTCAACTAAAGATTAATCGTAAAACAAACCCTCAACTAAAAATCTTGTGAAATAAACTCTCATCTTTATGTCCGTTAATGTTTTCGTCCCTCCGTAACTTTTTTCGTCAACTTTTGACGGAGAAACGTTAAATGTTGACGAAAAGGTTACGGAGGGGCGAAAACATTAATGGACATAAAGATGAGGGTTTATTTCACAAGATTTTTAGTTGAGGGTTTGTTTTACGATTAATCTTTAGTTGAGGGTTTAAATTACTAAAAATCCTTTTTTTTTTTGAAAAAATCCTATAAGTATTGATTATTTAGTGATTTTAGGACCGATTTTACTGTTAATACAAACTCATTTTTTTTTGTCAATGAGACCTCACATTCCTTCGGTAAATCTAACTTGTAGCTATATTTGTTTTCATGTTCGCTCTTTCACAAACAAAAAAAATTGTTTTTGAGATTAATGTTTAGTTTAGATTTTCCATTATTCAATTCGTACAAAGGAACAACCTAAGACCGGAGTTTAAAATTCAGGTATCCGATCTTCATTTTGGTGAGGAATCCACATTAGCTCAGACAACAAATTCAGTGGACCAATCTCCGTTAATTCGTTCTTTTTTCTCTAACAAATTATCTCAGTATCTCAATGCTATGGTAAAACCTACGTCAGCGTGTTCATCTTTCAGTGGTCGTCCTATAAGGACATCGACTTTAATGCCATTTTCAGTGGCTACATCACTCAAACCAGTCACTCATGCATTTCCATCCGACCCACCAACCAATCTTAGAAAAGACAAAAGGTAACTAAAATATAACTTGTCCTGATTTAAGTTATAGATATGTTAGAAGCGTTCACTGAACCACCATTCTACACATTAACTGTGGTATTATTTCTGTATTTATTTATGTTTATGTTAAAATTAGTATGTTCTCTTTTAGCATTGAGAGACTGAGATGATTTGTTAGAGAAGAAAGAACGAATTGACGAAGATTGGTCCACTTGATTTGTTGTTTGAACTATGTGGATTCCTCACCAAAATGAAGATCGGATACATGAATTTTAAACTTCGGTCTTAGGTTGTTCTTTTGTACGAATTGACTAATGCAAAACCTAAAGCAAACATTAATCTCAAAAACAAGTTTTTTTTTTGTGAAAGAGCGAACAGGAAAACAAGAATAGCTACAAGTTAGATTTACCCTCCTTCGAAGTTTCACTGACAAAGAAAAGCGAGTTTGTATTAACAGTAAAATCGGTCATAAAATTACTAAATAATCAATAGTTATAGGATTTTCTCAAAAAAAAAAAGATTTTTAGTAATTTAAACCCTCAACTAAAGATATATTGTAAAATAAACTCTCAACTAAAAATCCTGTGAAATAAACTCTCAACTAAAAATTCTGTGAAATAAACCCTCATCTTTATGTCCATTAATGTTTTCGCCCCTCCATAACCTTTTCGTCAATAGTTAACGTTTCTCCGTCAAAAGTTGACGACAAAAGTTACGTAGGGGCGAAAACATTAACGGACATAAATATGAGGGTTTATTTCACAAGATTTTTAGTTGAGGGTTTGTTTTACGATTAATCTTTAGTTGAGGGTTTAAATTACTAAAAATCCTATAGAAAACTACTTGAAAAGGGAGGAAATAAAACAAAAGAAAATCTAGGCTTGAACCTTTTTTTTTTTTTTTTGTAGGCTTTAACTTACAATCTTGGCTTAATAATGTTTTTCTTCTTTCCAAATGAGTTTAGGCTTTAACTTACAACCCTGTTATATATGTTTGATTGTTTATTTGTTGGGGCTAGACAATGTCCACGTAACAGATTTGTTTTTCTTAAGATGTTTACTTTTTACGAATTTAATTTGGAAAGAAATTACGTACTAAAATATAGACGTACGCTTTATAGAAATGTAATTTTTCTTTTTTTGTCAACTATAGAAATGTAGTTTTATTCAGGTAAAAATTCGATTCTGATTTTCAACACTTTTTTAAATGTGAGATAGGATTTATGAACTAGAGAATGGAAGATCATTAAATGATGCAATAATATAAAGTAGGTTTTTCTTTTCGCAGAGAGTACAGTTTACTCAACTAAAAGGCTTTTCCATCACACGGAAGAGAAACAAGAGAGAGAGAGAGAAGCTTTAAGAAGAAAGAACACAGTGTATCAGGTCACTGTACTTCCGCAAGCTTCCAAGCTCCCTCCATCACTGTACCCCCTTCTCTCTTCCATTCAAATAATGCCTCTGATGATAAAATCTTAGTATTATAATATATTTTATTATTTTTCTAATACTTCTTCTTACACATCTTCTTAGGATTCTTGTGATTGAGAGGTCTGTCTCTCTCGAGACTTGAGTAGACTAGACACGAAAAGATTCTCTCTTTCCATGGATTACGAGCGAATCGGAAAGACCCAGGTGATAAAAATGCTTCCTTTACGCTCTTTCTCCCCTTCACTAACTCTTCCTCTTCTTCTCCTATGAGTTTTGTGATAGGTTACTAGCAGCGGCGGCGGCGGCTTGTCTCCGAGGAAGTTAAGGAGTATGCTTCTTCTCGGTGCTGATAAAAAGAAGAAAGAAGATATGCTTGAACCTACTCCAATAATGAGATCTGGGTCATATCAAAGTGATGACCTTGGTAACACTTTCTTTCTTTTCCCCCTTTTTGATTATATGTTATATTCGGAATCTAGGGTTCATGGTGGAGCCCCTTAATCATTTCCTTAATACCCCTTTTTAAAACATATTTGTCCCCATTTGCTTAATTTAAATCTTTAAAAGTAATTTCCTTTTGACATCAACTTTTGTTGTTGTATACAATATGCAGTTGCTAGTGGATCAGATGATTACAAAGACGTTGATGTTGTGTGTGAGATTACTGATTCTTCTACTTCTGGAATCACTGATTACGACAATGTGAATGAAGTCAAGAGTGTCTCTGCATCCCTCTTTGAGTTTCAAAAGACAGAAAAGGACAAGGCTGCTCAAAGAGTTCCCACTAGATCATTCTCTAAACCTGCTCCTTCTAAATGGGATGATGCTCAGAAATGGATCGCTAGTCCAACATCTAACCGACCAAAGACAGGACAGGTGCATGTTCCTGGGTCAAAGAAAGGGCCTAGCTTTGGTCGGCAGTCTTCTCTGAAGATTCTTGAAGTTGCTTCTGGTCTTGAAGAGCCTGATACAAAGCGAATAGATGTAAGCCAAGTGAGAAAGGAGACAGGACACAAGTTTGTTAGCTGGGAAGTTGATTCATATCTCAAACCGGTTGACAACTCTGTTGTAGCATCAGCAACTGAAGTTAATCTCAGTAGACATGACTCTTCAATAGCAACTGCCTTTGCTCAACCACCTTCAACAGCGAGATCTGTCTCAATGAGAGACATGGGAACTGAGATGACTCCAATAGCTAGCCAAGAACCTTCAAGAAACGGGACACCGATCAGGGCAACAACACCTATCAGAAGTCCTATAACTTCTGAACCTTCAAGTCCAGGGAGACAAGCATCAGCTTCTCAGATGAGTAACAAGGAGCTCTCAGAGAAAGAGCTTCAGATGAAAACTAGAAGAGAGATAATGGAGTTGGGAACACAGCTTGGGAAGTTGAACATTGCTGCTTGGGCTAGTAAAGAGGATGAAGACAAAGATGCTTCCACGTCACTCAAGACCAAAGCTTCTCTACAAACTTCTAAAAGTGTTTCTGAAGCTCGTGCTTCTGCGTGGGAGGAAGCGGAAAAGGCTAAGCACATGGCTAGGTATAACTCATATAACTTTCATTGTTTGGTTATAGTGAGGTTTAAACTTAAAAATGACTTTGTAAATCTCTAGGTTTAGACGTGAAGAGATGAAGATACAAGCATGGGAGAATCATCAAAAGGCGAAATCTGAAGCTGAGATGAGGAAAACAGAGGTAAGTATTAGCATGAAAGGCTCAAAGAAACATAGTCAAAGTTTGATCATTCTTGACATTGCAGGTGGAAGTTGAGAGGATAAAGGGACGAGCGCAAGACAAGTTGATGAACAAACTAGCTGCGATAGAGAGGAAAGCAGAGGAGAAGCGAGCAGCAGCTGAAGCGAAGAAGAATCGTCAAGCAGCTAAAACAGAGAAACAAGCTGAACAAATCAGAAGAACAGGGAAAGTACCTTCTTTGATGTTCTCTTGCTTTAGCTTTTGTTCTTAGTAACAAACATTTAAAGTCCAATCTTTTGTATTATTTTGTACAATATAAGCTTTGTCAAACAACTTTTTTAGTTATGATGTATTTTTCATCTTAGTTGCTTTGTAGATCTATCAATCGGTTTATAACTCTTCTGCTTCAGACTCGGTTTAGGCTCGGTTATATATTTGGGTTGTGTATAAATCCAGGAGTATTTTGGTTTAAATATGGTTTCTCTATTTTTAATATGATTTGTCTATGTTAGTTTGTTTTGGGTAGAAGTTTTATTTAATTTCAGATTTTTTCAATAAATTGGTTTGTTTGGTTCTGGTACGATCAAGGTCAACGATTCATAATTTTGTTTGGTTCGAACTTGGTTCTGTTAAGGTCGGTTTAAATAATTCAACACCGTCTGTCTGCCAATAAGGCGTTACCACGTGTATATATGTTGATTTGATAAATACAATACTAATCTCCCGATCGCGAAAAAGGAAAAATCAGAGCTGTTTTAATGACTTTGGCCGCAAGTTAAAAAATAAAGGAAAAGATTACTATGCCCTAAACCAGAATCAAAGGAGGTTAAATATAAATAACATGTTTCACGCAAGAGTTTGTCTCCACAAGTTCTCTCTTCATGTTTAAGTATAAAGATTATCTGAAGACCAGAGTGAATCTCAAGACTCAGAAGAAACATATGGTTAAAGTTGAAAGAGTGACGAGGTTTACGGATCTTCCACTAGATTTGGTTGGTGATAAGATACTCTCTAATGTTCCATTAACATCTCTCCGAGCAGTGCGTTCAACTTGCAAGTTATGGAAGTCTTTATCCAGAGAATGGACCTTGAGTAACGCACCAGAAACAAGACGGCATTATTTGAGTTTCATGACGATGAATTACAAGGTTTATCCGTTGAGATTCCATCTCCCTAAAGACAAGTACATGAAAGTTTATAAACCTAGAAAGCATGTTGATATATTTAATCATGTCAAGATATCCAAAGTCTTTCATTGCGACGGTTTATTGTTATGCGTCCCCGATGACAACTCGCGGCTCGTGTTGTGGAACCCTTATTTGGGGCAAACAAGGTGGATTGAATCTAGAATAAAGTTTGACAGGTATGCTCTCGGGTATGACAAGAAGCGTAACCACAAAATATTGAGATGTTTTAATTTTTACGACAGCAACATCAGCAAACACTTTTTCATGGTCGAAATCTACGACTTGAGATCTCGTTCTTGGAGGGTTCTTGATGTCACTTCTGACTGGGTAATAGAGTATGATTCTCACGGTGCGTCTTTGAAGGGAAATACTTATTTTTTTGCCCAAGAGGAAATACCACTTGATGGAAACATAGTGGTATCAGACCTTGAGGATTTTCTAATCTGTTTTGATTTTACAAACGAGAGATTTGGACCGCGACTGCCTCTTCCGTTTCACTCTAGTATACAAGAAGGTGTGACACTCTCTTGTGTTGGAGAAGAGAAGCTCGCGGTGCTACATGAACGGTTGTATACATTAGGGACATTGGAGATTTGGGTTACTAATAAGATTGAGCCTGACTCGGTTTCTTGGAGCAAGTTTTTGAAAGTGGATATGACACCACATGATGGTCATTTGTTTTGCGTTGGGAGTTTCGTCATTGACGAGGAGGAGAAAGTTGCAATGGTTTTCGATGGAGACACAGACCAAATCTCCAAGACCCGTACGGACCACAGGGCTTTGACCGTTGGAGATGGATATTGTGAATATACGAGTTTTAGAAAATGTCTGACTGAGTCTTGTCCCCCACTGGTGTGCTCGTCTTCTTATCTCCCAAGCTTAGTGCAAATCAACTAAGGAAATAAAGAGATGATTTTATTAATTTACCTTTGTTTGCTTCTCTTACATGCTATTCATGACCTGTTCTACTTTGTTTTCTAATAATAAATTCAAAGACTTCGGCTATTGTATGATTTACCTTGTTTACTTAGATCCTTTAATGCTTGATACATGTCATATAATTTATTTGGGTAAAAAAAAAGCATCCAGCTTATAAGCATTCATAAGAATAGACCGGCTAATGAACAAACTAGCAGCTAAAGCGAGAGTAACAAACTGAACACATCAGAAGAACAGTCATAGTACCTTCATTGTTGCTCTGCTTTAGCACTTGGTCTTAATAACATAAGTAAAAGATTCTAAAAGAGCAAATACCATGTAAAATGTCTTTTAAAATCTCGTGTGTTTAATCAGAATTCAGCACATATTAAAAGTATACACGAATTGTATGATAGAATATTTGAAAGACGTTTATTGAATGAATCAAGAGACGAATCCAAAGAGTTTGAACGAAAATTAAAGATTACGTTTTCGGTAAAAACAAGGTAACCATAGAAAACTCTAATCTTATGCTGAAAGTATATAATTTCATAACCAAGTTGTTTTGGTCTAGTGGTAAAGGAGCTCTAGCTGGAGTGCCTGCTCCTAGGTTCGAGTCTTAGCCACTGCACATGGTGATGTCCTGGCAGTGTTTTTGTTCGCTTGGTCATGATACTCGGTTAACAAAAAAAAAATAAAAAAATATAAGTTCATGAATGTCTTTTCTTAGTTTTTGTCTTCTCTTTATAAAATAGATTTTTTTTTTTTTTTTTTTTCAAGTTAGCCTAACTTTATCCACCTTCTCGAATACAGCAGGCCGAATTCAATTACTCGATATGGTTTCTGTCAAGTGTCAAAGGAGGTAAATCATGTAATCCACCGGTCTTGTCATGACTATTTCTATGCGTAAACACTTACAAAAATAACTGTGTACTCTTCACTGATCCACTTACAATAAATGACCTAATAATTAAAAAACCATATGTTGGGCCGGTATAGCCTGTACCCAAAGGCCCATTAAGAGTCCAATATGCTTACCAACGAAACACCCCCCAAAAAGAACAGAACAGCAAAGTTAGTCAAGAGAACAACAAAACCCAGAGACTCCGTTCATAAACCCTACTTTCCTCTTCTTCCTCCTCCTCTTCACTCGAACATCTGAGTAAATACAATGTCTCCGAGTTAAAACGATGGGACTCATTGTATTCACTCTCCACTTCTTCCTCAAAATGCTCTGCTCTCTCCGCAACTTCATCCACGTTAATCGCAGATTCCCTCGCCACGTAAGCCCTTGTTCCTCTTCTCCCTCTTCTCCCTTCCTCTGGTTCACTAGTTTCCTCTCCATCATTCGCTACCCTTTCGTCACCAAAACCCACCCCTTAGATTCCGACATAGACCGGATCCGTAACATCCTCAAAAACGATCTACGGGAACAAGATCCCCAAATCAACAACCTTTCCGACCCGACTCGTGTCCCAAACATCCTCCTCGACCTAAAACAAGACCCTAGATTAGCCCTAAAATTCTTCAAATGGTCAACGAACCGAACCGGGTCTAACCACCAAACCATCCAATCATACTCTATAGTAACACACATCCTGTTTTGTTCCAGAATGTATCACGACGCTAACACTATCCTTAAAGAGATGGTTTTATTACACAACCGCGATGTTGTTTTCGACGCTCTTTGGTCTACAAGAAACGTCTGTGTTCCCGGTTTCGGTGTCTTTGATGCTCTGTTCAGTGTTTTAATTGATCTAGACATGGTTGAGGAAGCTTTAGTGTGTTTCTCTAAGATGAAGAGGTTTAGGGTTTTCCCAAAGACACGTTCTTGCAACGGTTTGCTTCAGAGGTTTGCGAAGTTAGGGAAGAGGGGTGAGATGAAGAGCTTTTTTAGAGATATGATTGGTGCTGGCTCGAAGCCGAGTGTGTTTACTTACAATATAATGATTGATTGTTTGTTTAAAGAAGGAGATGTTGATGGTGCGAGGAGGTTGTTTGAGGAGATGAAGTTTAGAGGTTTGGTTCCTGATACTGTTACGTATAACTCTATGATTGATGGGTATGGGAAGGTTGGTTTGTTGGAGGATACGGTTTGGGTTTTTGAGGAGATGAAGAGTGTGGGGTGTGAGGCGGATGTTATAACGTATAACTCGTTGATTAATTGTTTTTGTAAGTTTGGGTTGTTGCCTAAGGGGTTGGTGTTTTATAGGGAGATGAAGCGGTGTGGGGTGAGAGCGAATGTTGTTACTTATAGTACTTTGGTTGATGGGTTTTGTAAGGAGGGTATGATGGAACAAGCTATGAAGTTTTATGTTGATATGAGAAGAGTTGGTCTTGTGCCTAATGAGTTTACTTATACTTCTCTCATTGATGCCAAGTGTAAAATGGGTAATGTAGGGGATGCTTTTAGGTTGGGTGATGAGATGTTGGAAGTGGGTGTGGAGTGGAATGTGGTCACTTACACTGCATTGATTGATGGTCTTTGTGATGAGGAGAGGATGAAAGAAGCTGAAGAGCTTTTTGGTAAAATGGTTGCAGCTGGTGTGGTTCCAAATCTTGCAAGTTACAACGCTTTGATTCATGGATTTGTAAAGGTGAAGAATATGGAGAGAGCGTTAGAGCTTCTAAATGAATTGAAGGGGAGTGGTATTAAACCAGATTTACTGCTCTATGGAACTTTCATTTGGGGTTTGTGTGGTGTTGAGAAGATAGAAGCAGCTAAGGTAGTGATGAATGAAATGCAGGAAAATGGAATTAAAGCGAATACGTTGATCTACACAACGTTGATGGATGCTTATTTTAAATCTGGAAACCATACTGAGGGATTGCATCTGCTAGAAGCGATGCTGAAACTTGATATTGAGGTCACTGTTGTTACCTTTTGCGTTTTGATTGATGGGTTGTGCAAAAACAAGTTAGTCTCCAAGGCGGTTGATTATTTTGGGAGGATGAGTAACGAGTTTGGTCTACAAGCTAACGCAGCGGTGTACACAGCGATGATTGATGGTCTCTGTAAAGAGAATCAAGTTGAGGCTGCAACGAGTCTTTTTGAACAAATGGCTCAAGAGGGTCTAGTTCCAGATAGAACAGCGTACACATCGTTAATGGACGGGAACTTGAAGCAAGGGAATGTGTTGGAGGCTTTGGCTTTACGAGACAGGATGGTTGAGATAGGTATGAAGCTTGATTTGCTTGCTTACACTTCGTTGGTCTGGGGGTTATCTCAGTGCAATCAGTTGCAGAAAGCGAGATCATTCCTTGAGGAAATGATTGGGGAAGGGATTCTACCTGACGAGGTTTTGTGTATTAGTGTCTTGAAGAGACACTATGAGCTTGGATGTATTGAAGAAGCTGTAGAGTTGCAGAGTTATTTGATGAAGCATCAGCTTTTGACCAGTGACAAGAATAACACACTTCCAGACATGTGAAACTCAGGGAGATGCAAATCTTTCTGCTCTTATCAGACCGGTTCAGGTATTTGGATCCAAGCCTTGTTTCTTGTGGAGAAAATGAGGAAGGAAGAAACCAGAGTGTTGAATCTTCAGCCTGAGCTTCTCGTGAGAATCTATCAGCTAATCATCCGAGGAGAAGCTGCAAGAGCTGAGGTATGAAAACAAATCCAGTGTTGGGGTTTTGTGATATTTAACTCTTCAGCTGTGTCTGTGATAAGTCTTTTTGTTGCAGACGTTGAGCTCTGCTCCGAAGTGTTGAGCTAAAAGATGAGAGAAAAAGAGTGTATATGATTATGAAGTGATTTGCTTACAGATAGGTTAAAACCTTGAAGGTTCTTCATTGTTATTGTATTTGTTGCATTGAGGAACCAATAAAGTCCCAATTTTTGTTGTGTACATTTTTTTTACCCCCGAATGTAATTTCTTTCATTGATGATTGAAAAGTTTAAACAAATTATAATTATCCATAATGGCATTATGCAGAGACATTGAAAACTATTTTCATGTATTCTTTGTTTGGAAGATTATGCAGAGAAGGTTACAAATTTAATAAATCTTTCTATTCTTTGTTTTGATTTTTGAAGACTACGAATGTGTTGCCAAAGCTTTCAGATTAGTATACTACTTTATTTACATTTATTTCATAAATCATCAGTTTATACTATTTTCAATTGTGTGTGAATTATCTACACACATCAGCATATGGATACTGAAGGTTTAAGCAACTAACAGGCCGCAGCGAGATAGCTCATAGCTGTCTCTGCTAGAGAATAAATTTTCAAAATTCCACTGACACAAGCATAGGCGTGTTCGTTCAAAGTTCTGTCTCCAGCATTCATGGCTTGCCTGTAAGACCAATCAACACACCTTTTTCTGAGTTGAAAGCACAAAGTGACATTGTAATATGGTTTGATTTTCATTGTTAGCAACCTCTCACTGTGGGCCAGTGCCAGTCTAATGATTTATAGTGCCCTAAGCCAAATTTAAAACTGTTATTTTCTTCCACAGTTTTAAGTTTTTTATGACAATATAAGACAGTTATTATTTCTAAGGTAGTTTTTTACGATTACAAACTAACTATGTTTATTTTTACAACTAAACGGGTTCCACAGTTTTCAATCTTATTTTCCTTCTCTTTTAATATATAAACTAGATTTTTACCCACGCAACCGCGCGGGTGTTTGTTTTCGTTTATAGTTAGTTTTATAAACATTTTGTTTTCACTTGTAAATTGATATATATTATAGTAATCATATATTTACGATATGTATAGTAAATGTTTTTCAAACATAATAATATCATATAATACGTGTTTTAATCAAATAAGTTGTTTCAATTTTTTTATATTATACATGTTTTCAAACATGTGTTGGTTTCTGCTTCTATATTTTATTGTTTGTTAGAGTGGTATTTCATTTTTAGATAAAGTAATATAAATTGAGCTTGATTAAATATTAGTATACTTTAATTTGTAAAAGATAATATAAACTTCGAATTTTTTTTTACTAAAAACCAAACTTATAGCTTCATAAATTAATATTATAAAGAATTTTATTAAAAAAGAATTTTTTAAACAATTTCTTTTTTAAAAAAAATATAATTTTAAAAATTTACATCGCAATAAATTTATCTAGTATATATATCGTGTAAATTTTGTTAGGGTATATAAATATTTCATATTACGAATCTGTGATTTTTGTTAATATATTGTTGATGCATTTAATTATTATTGATATATTTCCTTATAAATAATAGAAGAATCATAAACTTATATATATTGACATATTATGCCTGACTAAACTGGAAAGTGTGAGGTAATTTACCAAAACCAAATTGTTAAGCGTATTTTTGTTATTATAGATATGATTTTTCATAAGATATAATAATGATAATATTATTAGAGAGTTAGTGTAACATGACTTTCTAATAGTAGTCTATTTTTTAAAAAAATCACACATGAAATCAAGTCATGACTTCTGTTTTAATATATAAGATAATTCTAATGGAAAAATGATCTTAATAATAAAAGAGGAGCAAAATGAAGAAGTTGACAGATCTTCACATAAACAAGATGTTGAAGAACAATCACATAAACCGGTAATTATACCATGATTTAATAATTCATCATAATTTTAAATTTAAATAATTAGTCTTGAATCAATATTTGAAAAATTGCAACACATAAACACGTATATAATATTTTTTAAAAAAAAATCAAAGAACTTCTATGCAAACCATAAATAAGTATATTATACCATCTTTTTCTGGTTTTAATTTACTCAAGTGTACGTTGACAAAAATATATGTTCAAGCATCTGATATCTAATTTGTATCGATAGTATGATTAAAGACTAACAAAATGATTTTTACATTTTCGTTAAGCAGTTTACAAATTTAGCAGGTTTTGGTGCAGTAGCACTTGAGACCACTGCATTGACCTCCTGTGAAACTTTCGCCAGTGCAAACACCAGCACATTTCTTTTCGTTGAGACACACTCCTTTGAACTTGGTACTTGGTGACTCACACGTTCTGGCTTCCACTGGAATCAATCCTAATCACAAAATTAACCCACCAAACTATCTCAAACACTCTCATTTTGAAACATAACCATAACTAAGAGCTATACATAGATGTTATTATAAACAAAATGTGGAATTACATGACATGCATCATGCATAGAGGCTTATCTGTATTATTTTCGCACTCACATATATGGTACATGCTTATAATTAGATCCAGGGCCAGTCGAAAGAATAAGATTTTCGAGGCCATGTATATCGGAAAACTAGTGTATATCAGAAATATAATGTTTTAAGGATTTTTAATTATATATATAAAAAAGTTTCTCTTTACCCATAAAATAATTTAGCACTAATTTAGCAGGTTGTAAATAATTTGGCAATATGTTTTTTAGTTCATAAAGAAAATCTAAAAGAAACCTATTAGGAAAAAACATATTTTAAGTAAGTTTATATATATATATATATATGTAATAATTATGAGATGAATTATTTAAACAAAGACAGTGAGATGAGTTAGAACCTGCGGCAAGGAGTAGCATGAAAGAGAGGAGAATAGTTGAGACCAAACGCAGAGAGAGTTTCATCTTAAAGAGACAAGATACAAATGTTTCAATGGGGATTAAGAAAATGAAGAAGAAAAAAATTGGCACTATATATAAGAGGGATGAATATTTTGTTGGTAAAAGATTATGTTTTCTTTGCCTAATGAAAATAAACAGTTTAAGGCCTCAGAAAAAAAATAGAAACAAAACGTGAACCAACTAAACATTTGCCCAAAGAAGAAATCGTAACTAAAGGCTCACCAGTCAACTATTATATAATCAAATTAATAAATCCTTACCGCGTACATCAGGTTTTCGCTATTCTTCGTTAATTTATCTTCCAGTTTCTTTTAAAAAAAATAGTTTGCGTTAATTTGCTTTAATACAGTAGTTTAGTGCACAAACTTCTTTGCAAATATATTAAGTTCCACTAAAAGATAATGGTACTCCGGCAAAAGAAGTACTCCTCCATTTTATAATAAGAGTATCTCCAAAAAGACATTCTATTTTAGAGTTTGTAAAACTCTATATATGAAGTTTGTTTGTGTTATGTTCCAAAAGCAAAACTTCAAACCAAACTTTAAAACTATTTGTATTTTATATTATGGTTCTTATATTAGTCATAACTAGTTAAAATTCATATAATTTTTATAAATAACTAACACATATATAAATATATTACATCAATATTAAATGATAAAATGTTACACTAAAATATGAAATTATTAATAGAAATATATAATTAAATATTACACTATAAATAAAATACCACATTAACTCTTGTAATATTGTTTTTGTCTAGCTTTAATTTAACTATTTTAAATCTTATCTTGTTGTTTTACAAAACTAAAAAAATATGTGTAAAATTTAAGTTTATAAAAAAAAATTGAAATATTTACGAGATAATAATTTTTAAGGATTAAAATGATAAAACCATAAAATATAAGAATTATAAATATAATGTATAATTGTAAGGATCCAAATGCAAATAAAATATGAAACTTCAAATTTGAAGTTTTGAATAGTGACACTCTATATTTGAAGTTTCACTACTCAAAACTTCAAATTTGAAGTTTTAGAATTCTTTTTTGGAGAACCAAAAACTTCATATTTGAAGTTATAGAGTGTCTTTTGGAGATGTCCTAAGTGTTATTTTAACTTTTTTTTTAATTTTATTTTAAAATAATTGTCATTCTACAATATTTGTATAGTAAAGCTACTTTCACTTTTTAAAATAACCAATAGTATTTTTTATTTAGATTATTTTTATTTAATTAATCAAACGTTAAATAGGAGTTATACTAGTTATTTAATTTCTGTGAAAATTATCAAAATAACACTTATTTATAAAGAGAATATTAATGTAAGATTTCAAGCCCGTTAAAACATGATTAACTCCAGTTTCTTATTTGAGGTTTTTAATTTTTGATTTGATTTTCTTTTTTATTTTTATATATTTTTGGTTAAAAACATATTTTTTATTTAAGAATAAATTCTTAATTTTTTTAGTTAAAAATTAAGAAAAATGTCTTAGACTGAGGCTAATCATGCATTAATGTGAGGTTTTAAGCTACAAGAATACATATTACATCTCATTCTCCCAAAATTAGAGACAATTTCTACATCCATTGTTTTATCCCCCACCTTTAGAGTTACAATGATGGCAAGAAATTGCAACTTGATTTAAAATTGACGTATCTTTAATCATATAAGGAGGGGAAAAGAACGATTTGATCTGATCGTTTAAAAGCCACAAAGTGATCGAGCCGAAAGAAGTGTCTGTTTGCATACTTTCCCATTGATTCCACAATCGTATCCCCACGTCTGACCTACTTTCTTATCTTGTTCTTTTAACTTTACTTCATCTTGTAAAACTTTCCTTCCCCCACACTATTGATTCAAGGCCAATATCATATGACCTTTGATTTCTCTCAATCCCACTAATAAGTTTCACTTTTTGAACTACATGTTGATATTTGGTAGTAGTATAAAAGTCTATCCTTGTGTTTATCTCTCTAGTTGTTTATGCTATGCTTTTTTAGTGCGGAGAATTTAAATTGAAAAGAATAATCTACTTGAAAAAAATCATGAACTGTCGTTTAGCAAACCATGCCTCAAAGCCCTTTCTCTTTCAAAAAAGAATTATATATCTTTTTATTGCTAAATTGTAAATGTCATAATCAAAATGAAGGTTTGGTTTAAAAAAAAAAAATTATATATAACATGCCAACAAAAGGGAAATCTAGGTCTTGTTCATTCAAAGATCACGAATGCAACGTATATATATGCATCACTTTTTGTCGGCATGTTATACGTTTGAGATGCGTGTGAAAGACTGGGGTCAAGTTATAAGTGTTTAGTGTCACTGTCAAGTAATGCAAAAAAAGAAGAGATTAAAATTGTTTAGATGGCTTTGAAAAAGCAGTAGTACATCTGTACATGTGTAGAGCTCTCGTATAACACAAAGGACACGCGTTGTAGCTAAGCGCTACGTGTGTTACTAACTACACTACGATTACTTCACAAGTAGTATTATTTAAATTAATAGTACCAAGACGGCAAGACGTATAAACGTATGATTCTTTTTGATCGACCTACAACTATTTCAGATTTGCCGTTCACCTAACTCTTAATAACCTCTACGTAATTAAATAGCTCTGTAGAGGCTTCTTGCTAAAGAAAACCATAAGTTTTTCTTTTGAAAAAAAAAGAAAACCATAAGTTGATATAACATTACAAACACACATACGTTATAGAACGAAACACACAAACCAAAGACTTATTTGAAAATACATTACACACACACATGTACGGTACGACATGGTGATGTTCGGAAGATTAGATAGAAAGAAACAACACGAGACGATGGATGGTTGATTCTTGGTTATGAGAATCGATAGGTAGATCAGCAATGTCTGGTGCAATAGCAACGACGACGGAAACCACGGCATTTACCTCCGCCAAAACCTTCATTGTGGCACACGTTTCCGCAGTTTGTTGAGCTCACACATGTACCCTTGAACCTATGGCTCTTAGACTCACATGTCCGTGCCTCAACTGTCACTGGACCCATCCCTACACATAATTAACACATAAACTTAGACAGTTAGACCATAGCTTAGTTTCATCTTTCATCTTCTCATGCATGATGCGTTATTCATCTTTAAAGTTTATGGAAGAACCAGTATTTTCAGTTTTACAAATATCATAAATTTTCAAAGTAATTTTCAGCAAAACAAATACTACTAAAGCCCACAGCCAACTATCGTTAAATTGTGTGGTAATAAGAAACCATAAAAACATTTTTTTTTCTAGGAGTCACAAGAGCAGTCGCTAGAAACATATAGATCCGTAAATATATATGACAGTGATTTACTATATGTAAATGATTAACATAATTGCATGCCTATTTGCATATTTAGACATAAAGTTAGGAGAGTATAAAGAACCTGTGGCAACGAATATCATGAACAAGAGGAGAGTAGCTGAGATCAAACGCATAGAAAGCTTCATTTTGAGAGAGAGAGAAAGAAAGTTTCAGAGTAAGAGAGTTCAAGTAAACAAGTGTTTAGTGTGTAGGGAACTAATGAGGAAGATGGCCCTATATAAAGAACTAAAGGCTGTCATTGGTTTTCAATATAGGAAAAAGGTGAAAAAGAAGAAGTGAAATGCGGAAGAAAGAGGAAAATCAAAACCCAGAGTAAAAATATTCTTTTATGTGATGCATAGTAATGTTACTCTCTCTATTTTTGTTGTTTTTTGGAGTAGAATGCTGAAAACCTATTTTACATGATTGGTGAAAAATAGAGTGATTGGGCAGAATTTTTACTTTACTCTACTACATTAACGCTAATGTTACAATTCAGTCACATTCTAAAGTGGTATAAGAACGATCAAGAATTTGGTTATTAAATTACATAGTTGAGTATTTTAGTATTTAGTAGATATTTTTGTAATTTATATCTTTTTGAACCACTACGAAGTTGATATTCGCTATCGATCTTTGCCACAGTGGTGTGACGAAGATTCGTCGTTTTGCTCCTTTTATTTTTCTTTACATTTTCACTCTTTTTTGTCGATTTATTTACTTCACCGACACTAGTAAATGTAAATTTGGTCCTTGTTGGAAGTGACACGGCAAGCAAAGAGATCGTATGGTTTGGACAACTCGTACTCGAAATACAAACTTTTATTTCAAAATTAGAAACGTTAGAGCATCATTAACCCATATACCCTAAATGGGTCTCTTATTTGTTTTTTAATACCTTTTAATTGTAAAAGTGAATTAAGAGATTGGATTAAGAGACCTGTAAATTTATGTGCTCCAATGCTGGTCTCTTAATTAAAGTTTCTTAAATCTTCTTTTCTTTTTTTAAGTTAATCATCATTGTAAACCAAAGCAAATTCACTNAGAGCATCATTAACCCATATACCCTAAATGGGTCTCTTATTTGTTTTTTAATACCTTTTAATTGTAAAAGTGAATTAAGAGATTGGATTAAGAGACCTGTAAATTTATGTGCTCCAATGCTGGTCTCTTAATTAAAGTTTCTTAAATCTTCTTTTCTTTTTTTAAGTTAATCATCATTGTAAACCAAAGCAAATTCACTTAGAATGATTCCTATCTTCTTTTAACTATCATAAGATCCCTAGACATAGCAATAAGATGATCATGACATGAAGTGATGAAACATAATACCTTTGTACATAAGCTGAAAACAAGAGGTACAACAAGCTCAATATCTTCATCTCTCTCCTTCCTCACCACAAACCCACAACCACCACAGTCTCTCTTCCTCTGCTCCATCAGAATCTCCTCTTCTATCACAATCAAAAACAAAACAGAGTCAGAAACTAAGCTTAAATGATTAAGGATACGATTATACGAATGAAGCAAACTGAAATTGCAGAGTTTATTACAACAACGACAGTTCCACCAAAAAATATTCATGTATATTGTCTTAGAAGACTTTAACGAAACTCCCACAATTGTTCAGACACTACAACTAAACCGAAGTTTCGATCGAATCAAGCCACAGAAGATTCCAAACAACTCAACGGTCATAGAAAACCAAAGAATACGTAGGCTACATCTTCTGGTCACAACACACGACATATGAAGGTCTTTTAGGTCCCAGTTCCCACGACAATAAGAAGACTCATTGTTTGACCAAAACCAGAGAACAAACATGACTTTTTCTTATGGATTTTAATTGGTTTCAAGGTAGACAGACAAAACTCTTAATGGCGTTGCAAAATAAAACGAGGGTGAGCAACGCACAAAACTCTTAATGGCGTTGCAAAATAAAACGAGGGTGAGCAACGCACAAAACTCTTAATGCCGTTGCAAAATAGCCCATAAATTTCGTCTTGTTTTAGCCAAGCTTATAACGTACTTCTCTAACTCTTAACTCTAATGGATAACGACCCCTTAAACAGAAACATGATGAGCAATTCGTAATCACAACACCATTACCTTGAGAGGAAGTACTTGGCCCGATTCAACAAGCGACGACGAGCCCTGCCCAGCTCGGATCTAGAGCTTGAATTTGGTCGAACAGAAGAAAGGAACCCACAGAGTCGAGAATCGACTTAATCTGCTTCCTATCAGCCGTCAAAAGCTGCTTCCTCGAAGGCGAAGCATCCGCATCGAGAAGCGATTAGGGAAACACCACAGCGGGGATCCGGACAGTTCCTTGGAGGATTTGAAGAGGAATGGAGATGAAGAGATTACAGAGGAAGCCCTACTCCTGCCATGGCTTCATCTTCTTTCTTCCTTCTTCGCGATAGAGAGAAGAGAGTCAGGACACGTGTACTCGAAGAGACGGTCTTTTCTGTCGCTTGATTAAGGGACGTAGTTTGAGATAATAGCTATTTTTATTTATTTTTAATTCTGAAAACACTAAGAGACGGGCTTAAAAGACCCCGTTAATGATGCTCTNCCCTACTCCTGCCATGGCTTCATCTTCTTTCTTCCTTCTTCGCGATAGAGAGAAGAGAGTCAGGACACGTGTACTCGAAGAGACGGTCTTTTCTGTCGCTTGATTAAGGGACGTAGTTTGAGATAATAGCTATTTTTATTTATTTTTAATTCTGAAAACACTAAGAGACGGGCTTAAAAGACCCCGTTAATGATGCTCTTAAAGCTTATAAACAAGTAAAATAATTGAGTTTGTCAGATAATGTGGAGTCCACTCAATATGATAGTGGCCACGTGAAAAAATAAGTAAACCGAGTGACGTTGTAAAAGGATGGATCTATTATCGTACAAAATGATTTTTTACAGTTTGTATAAACGTAATATTTGATATTTTACACACTTTATATAGCAATAACCCAAGTTCAAATTAGTAGTTATATGAACACTAATTCTGGATTGATTACTTATTCAAAATAAAATATTGTTAGTAGCTAAATTAAAAGAAGGCAATCCACTTTTTTTTCTCATGGTGAAGTGGCAGACAAAAAGCTGGTTGATTGTCTTCTTTATTCTCGTGACTTTATAGTCGTACACGATTTCCTTTACTCATTTGATTTCACGTATTTCAATCGCTTTCCCTTGGGCTTTAGCCATTCTCAGGTTCAAATTTGATTCAGATTCTTTTATTTTTTCAGACCATATAAGTGTTTTTCCGACGAGAAGGAAATATTGGGTTAAAATAAAACACTAGCTATTTGGAATAAATTGCATTTAGCTTCTTTCTTTGACATGACAATGTACTCTTCATTCTTTTACATGCCAATCAAATTCGGTACGCTACATCAAGTGTCCACTCTAAGATATCGAAGCAAGTTATAAGTGATTGTTTCATTCTGTTGAGGAAGGAGAGGAGATGCGACATTTGATTGGTCTATTTTGAGTGTTACGGGAGGGAAAGTCAGTATTATTACAAAAGAAAGGCGAGTGAGAGACTCAACAACGTATTATTACAAAAGAACTAAGCGCGCGGACGAATCACATATCAGGCCGTTTTTATTCTTTTATTAGGCCTAATATTATATATGGGCCCGAAACAATTCATATAAGTCAATATCTCAGCCTTGGATACGTAAAAGAACAGTAAGGTGTGCAAGTTTTTTTCATTTTTTCTGTACGAGTTTTGTTTTAAAACAAACTAAATCTCGACCCCGTACGACCGCACATATATTTAATTTTATATTTTAATTTGTGTTTGTACTTAATGTTATATTTGAAAATGTAATTGTATTTGTTATATTTGTATTTAATATTATATTTTTCATTTTATCGAAAAATGTATCATTGATAATAAGTATCATATAACCAAATCCAACATTTATATAATTATATCTATGTTTAACATATATAGCAAATAACTTTTTTCAAACAAAAATTACAAAAATAAATAATTATGAATTAGCATATTAATTATAAATGATACATTAGCTATAACATTTGTAATAAAATGAAATGATTATTAAATTTCTACCAAATCTGGATCATATAAAAATTAAGATTTAAACTTGATGTAACTGATATAAAATTATAAATGAGCTTAAGTTTGTGTACATTTAAACTATGTATACGTAGATATTATTTTTTAGTTTTTCTAAGTGATAATATATATTCAAAATTTATCCATGTTCAATTATTATTTAATATGATATTTATAATCATAACAATTTTATTGTTTATATTGATGATTTTTTTGTCTTGTGAACCATCAATTGTATCATCGCCATCTTTTAAATATGATCCGTGCATTATGTAAGCTAATAAAATTATTATATAAATACTTTGTGTATATTATTGATGTTATTAATTTTTATAGTATTGATATGCAATAAGTAAGTTAAAAATTTTATAATGATTTATTCTGAATTCAGTTTAGAAAATATTTTATTAATTTTGGAAAAGACATACGAGACATAGAATTAAGATTACTTTATTAATTTTGAAAAAAACAAAAAATATTTAAATATAGATTCATTTAATTACTTCAGTGACATTGATTTGTAAATAAGTAATAAGATTAAGAGGTAATTTTTACTGATATTTTTATTTTAATAATATAGATCAGTTTCCAAAAAAATAGTTGGGCTAGTCGTAAACAATTGGGTCTTCTATTGTATGTAATCTTTTTCTTCTTATCATACCTTTAAAGTTTTAACCAACCAAAGAGAAAAAAATAAACTAAATTAGCAATTCATTATAAATCCTTATTGTCTGTGTTGCTAGTGTTGGTATATAATATCAGAAAGAAAAATGAGTTTTAGAAAAAATTGTGGACCCCACCTCTTAAAAACTCACTTTAGGACATCATTATTGTAAGGTTCTTAAGGTAAAGTCCTTAATACACATATATGTATATGTATATATTGTATAAGTATATATAATTATAAGTTAAGAACTTTACGGAAACCAAAGCTGAAAGTTTCTTAATTAAGGAACTTTCGGCTTTGGTTTCCGTAAAGTCCTTAATTTATAATTATATACACTTATACAATTTTTATACATATACATATATGTGTATTAAGGACTTTACCTTAAGAACCTTGCAATAATGATGCCCTTAGAAATGGGTTAAAGATGCTTTAAACACATTATTGAGAGCATTTAAGCCCAATATAAATAGGTATAGCCTAAATAGTTTAGAACTTAAGTTAAACCACGAAGAAAAAAACACAAATGACGATGATCATCAATCTCAGTTGTTAAGCCATGCATGCATCATCGAAGAAGAGAGACTCAGAGAAGAGTGACAAAATGAGGAGATCCGATTTTTGATTAGTGCGATTATGGAAGAGATGAATAAATCAGCATTTCGGGATTCTTTTCTGTAGATTCTAGAATTTCTCTCCCTACATAGAGTGTATATTGTTGCTTGCCAAACCAAGAGAGACATCAGATGCAGATACTTCGGTAGAGAGAATGATTAAGCAATTGATTGATTCCAGATCTAAGTGCCGGTGCTCTAGCCTTTCTTTGCCAGCGGATTCCAGATAGAGAAGGAGAAGTTGCATTCAAGAGCGGATCTAAAACTTTTAGTAGGAGGCACTGACATAAATTTTGAATTAAAGGGGAGGGGGTACTGTCATTGAATTTGAGCTGAACTAAGATGATTACTTACAGAAAAACAAATTTTAGTCGGGGGCACGTGACCCTGTTGCTTACAACATATGTCTATCCTTGGTTGCATTCGAAGAATAAATGATCTCGTTTCTAGAAAAGAGTTGCAAAGGATACAAGTAAGGTCGATTTGAAATCCCCAATTGATCATAAGATCCTTCGTGGGGCAGCTATTGAGATTAACAAAATTACTAATATAACAAGCGGTAAAGAAGTTCAATATTATCTTTTGTTAAGCCTATATAAATTAAATGTTTGTCAAATTTTATCGCCCTTCAACAAAGGCAAAATAATATATTAATTCTCATACAAGGACCGAACATATAATTTAATTGTCTACATGGTAGGCAATTCTGTGTATTGTATACATGTGTGTACATGTATATATATATATATATATGTATATTAAATTACAAAACATATTTAGATTTAAAAAAAACAGTTAGTACAACAAAACCCTCGTTTTCAAAAAAAAAAACCTAATCATTTTTTTTTGGACAACAAAAAAAAAATAATCATTTAAATACAGAGGAAACGAGGGTTTTTGTCTTAAAGCTCACCAGAAAGATACGAATGAGAAAAATGAGGCCCCCACACCACACCTCGCATGTGGACACATTTCACCGTTTTAACAGTGACACCCAAACCGTAACCATCCTTCTTAATTGTAAAAACAATTTTTTCAAAAGTTTTCTTCCATTTAAATAAATTATGACAGATAGAGACCTCGCTACATACTTTTCAAATCATATATGACTTATTAAAAAGAAAATAGAAGAACACAAAACAGAAGAGAGAGAGAGAGAGAGAGAGGTAGGGCTTTGAGGTTTGTCTTTGTATTATATACCATATAATATACATATATATTGGAATAGTTTCTTCTTCTACATCTTTTTCTTTATCATGATCATGCATCTTCTTCTTGGTCCTTTCTGTAGTTCCGATTTAAAGCTTTTTGACTAATTTTCCTTCTTCTTGTTGGTTACTTTCTCTTGATCTCAGGTATCCAAATAAAATTACAAATCTCTCTTCATTCTTTCAAAAGTTTACAAAAAAAAATAAATTAAAATAAACCCTTAATTTGTTTTTCTTTGTTCCATTCATGTCCTTTAGTGAATTGTTTTTATAAAAATTCTTCATGTCGTCAATCTCTATGGACTCTTCCTGTTCTTAATTCCTCTCTTCGTATTCTTCCCAAACGATAATCTGATTTCTTTCACAATTTTTTAAAACTTTTTGTATGGATTATTTGTAGATTATTACTCTATTCCACGCAAAGAGGAAGTCTAAAGATGTCATCATCATATAACACAAACGTTGTTCCTTCACCATCATCCTCCACTCAGCCGTTCTTCATAAGTGGCTCCAGCGCCGGAGATAATGCCTTTGACCGGAAGGATACTTTTATGTCAATGATTCAATATCCTAACTCCTCGGCTCCACCACCCAAGAAACGAAGAAACCAACCGGGAAACCCAAGCAAGTACCTCTTATCTACATACATATATATACATGACCGAGTTTTTTTATAGATAAGATATTCCTTAATTAGAAGAAAAAATAAACAATAACCCTAATCTTTTATATTCCTGTATCAATATTTCATAATCATTAACCTTTTAGCAAAAAAAAAGAGGAAGATTTCAATATATTAATGCCAGCGTTAGATCAGATTTTATATGTATATATATGCGTATGTATGATTTGGCTTACTTTAATTTCTATTTGCGCATGATTGTATTGTATGTGCTATATTGGCTTGATGTAGTCCGCATATATAAACATTTTGTATCCGGATTGGTGATTAAGTTTTAATTGATCAAACAGATCCTGATGCGGAAGTGGTAGCGTTGTCTCCAACCACACTAATGGCTACAAACAGATTCATATGCGATGTATGCAAAAAAGGGTTTCAAAGAGAACAAAATCTACAGCTTCACCGAAGAGGGCACAATCTCCCATGGAAGCTCAAACAGAAGTCAACCAAAGAAGTGAAGAAGAAAGTGTATATTTGCCCGGAACCAACGTGCGTCCACCATGACCCTTCACGTGCTCTCGGAGACCTCACCGGAGTCAAGAAGCATTACTATCGTAAACATGGAGAAAAGAAGTGGAAATGCGACAAATGTTCTAAGCGTTATGCGGTTCAATCGGATTGGAAAGCTCACTCTAAGACTTGTGGTACTAAAGAGTATCGATGTGACTGTGGTACCATCTTCTCTAGGTAACTGATCTCCATCCATTTCATTTAAATAATTTGTCTGTATTTGGGCTAAGTGATGAAACGTATAATATATATACGTGTGCGAAGTATCTAGATATACCCTCTTATCTAGGTAAAGTATGTAACAATGGACCATCATTTCTTTTGTATTATACTGATACTATTCTAGGTAAAAAAGATGCATTCTATATATACTGATTCACATGTAAATACCGAATATATAATATCATCTGTAACTGAAATCTTATATATTTGGCCACGTAATTTGAACCTCGAGTACACCGCCCATGAAATGTATATAGTGACTATATGTACATAGAATCTATCACTGTATTTGTTTGGTTATTGTTTTTTTGGGTCAACTATTTGTTTGGTTACTGATGAGTAGTGAATAGAGAAAGACAGTGAAGAAAGTAAGAAAATTTAAAAGATGCTACATTTGGTCAGATGTATGAGTTGGATCTGTTTTTCCATTTCCCACTTTTGTTTTCTTCTTCTTTACTTAGCAGGTTCCCCTTTTTATGAAACTCCTCTTCTTTTGTGGACCCTGACTTATCTCTTTCTATCTCTAGGCATAAATACATATATATATATATATATGTGGGTAAGAAAGCGTTACTTATTTCATCACAGGTTCTGGTGAACACTTTAATGCCGTTCTAGGGTTTCTTTCTTTATTTTCATGGTTTGTGTTAAATACGTTGTTGTAGAATGTGACTGACTTCTATTGACATTCCTGGGTTTTGCATTAAATGAAGAAGCTCTTTCATTAAAGTAGCAATTGACTCGACCTCTATATATTCCTCTATCATTCTTTCCTATAAATGGTAGCCACAATAACTATAGCATTCATGCATTAATCATTAATGATGATTCATGTCAACGTATGCAATATAGTTAGTACATATAATTATCATATATTTTTATTTTTTGGGGGGCTATTTGTTGTATATACATTTAATTCTATTTTTTGGGCTACTTGTTTTGCAGACGCGATAGTTACATTACACACAGGGCTTTCTGTGATGCATTGATACAAGAGACTGCTAGAAACCCTACCGTGTGCTTCACGTCAATGGCAACTGCTAGCAGCGGCGCCGGCTCCCGTGGATTTTACGGGAGACTCGACGGTGGCAACGCTCTCTCCCACCACCATTTGAGTGACCATCTCAACTCCGGATTTTCGCCTTTCTCGAGTTACAATCTAAACGTTGCATCTTCTGAAAATAGCAGAGACTTTACTCCGCAAACGTCAAACCCTAACATCTTAATCCAATGCTCATCGAGCCAAGGGATGCTGACTGTAGCAAACAACAACGATCAAAGTTTCATGAACCAACACGGTCAGATCCAGTTTGAGCCAGTCAACAACATAAACCTCAAGAGTAGCACCACCAACAACAACAGCTTCTTCAACCTCGGATTCTTTCAAGAAAACACCAAGAACTCAGAGACAACTCTTCCTTCTCTATATACCACGGACGCTCGTGTTCATCACCGTGAAGAAAGTTTGAACGTGGGTTCTAACGTGTCAGCCACGGCACTGCTTCAGAAAGCTACTCAATTGGGTTCAATCACAAGCAGCGACTCTTCTGCTTTGTTCAGAGGCTTAGCTTCTTCGTCAAGTGTGGTTGCTAATGACTTTGGAGGAGGGCAGATTATGGGGAATGATAATAACGGTAACCTTCAAGGCCTGATGAACTCACTAGTGGCCGTAAATGGCGGTGGTGCCGGCAGATCCGGTGGCAATACATTCAACGTTGACTTCGGCGGATCCGGTGGCTCGGACAACTTAACTTTGGATTTTCTTGGAGTTGGAGGAATGGTGAGAAATGTAAATCACGGTGGTGCTGGTCGTGGAGACGTTTCTTTGAATGGTGAACTGAAGTTTCATGAGTAAAATTATCCGTTTGTAAGAACTTGATAATGACTTATTATTATAGACCTTATAATTAGATGATAACTTTGTTACCTTCGTTTTGTTGTCGTCTATATATTATGATCTTTCTGAACTCTTTAATTTATGTCTGATTTTGATTTGAGTCTGTCTTTTTTTTTTGAATTACGATTGGAGTCTGTCTTTGTTTAGTTGTTATATAATAAAAATAAATGTAAGTTTCGAGGGTTAACGGAATGGATAGAGTATCATGCGGCTAAATGGAAAAAAAAATTATAGAAGCTTCAAAGAAATTTCTAATATGTTAATATGTAAAAAACATATGTACGTTTTGGCCAAAAAGCTTGAGTATCATTCGAATGTTTATTTGAGTTAACATTCCTTGTTAAATACTTAATTATGAATGTTTTGAACGTGTTAATATTGCAAAAGTTAACGCCAAGGATAAAACTGGTGAAGACATCGTTTTACATCAGCTCGAAGCTAAAAAAGTTACAAAAGACCCCAAAAAAAAAAGGGTGGAAAAAGCCTAATGTAAACTCAGGAGTAGCATCTAGCTACAGAAGCAGAAGTAATCAGTCGAACCTAAACCGGATGGAAAGCATAGTCTGGAACCTTTTCCTATCACTGCGAGAAGATGTTAAAGTTGATTGGAAAGAGCTGTAACTTTATATTTTTTTGCTGTAGACATATTTATAAAGGGATTACCTAAGATGGTCGATAATCAAATTTCTAAAAGGCTTGCTTGGTAAGCCAATTTAATATGGTTGGAATAATTAATTGAGTCTTCCTTTTCTTATGTTTATCATTGATCCACGTTTCAATTTAAAATAACATGTTTGTGTGTCGAAAGTAAGTTCGCATTAAATATTTGTTTGATTTATGTAGACGAAGCAGATCTTCTCTTCACTTTTTTTCTGGTGTGTTTTCAGATGAAGGTGCTTCGAGATTCTAGAGGCGTGGCTATCCATTCTTGGTGGCTCAGTTTTTAGGTCAGCGGTTTCGTCCGTTAGACTTGTTTCTAGCTATTTTGGATATGTAGTCATTCAGTTTTATTGGTTAACATCAAACCGGGTCCATTAAAACTGGTTGTTTGTTTGTTTTTCTTTGTTTTGTTTAAATCTTAGTATTTTACTGGCTGTAGTAAAAAAATCCAAAAAATGTTTTTAATTATTTATATATAAACCGTGTTTGTAAAACAATTCTATATTCCGTGTATTGGAACTGTCATAATAGATTATGTGTATGTATATCGATATAATTTACCAGAAAAATGTGTAAATACATATTATTATATTCAAACTATTTGTATAAATTATGTTTATTAAAACCAACATGTATATCGAGTGTGTAAATTATTGTCGCACTTGTTTTCATTACAGATGATTAAATAAGTTCATTTAATCAATGCACAATTAGTATTTGATCTCTCCATTCGATCTCTTGATTTAATTTATGTCCTTTTAAATTTGTGCACATATATTAAAAACATAATTTTGTCTATTTTTCAAATTAAAAATATCATTAAATATATACTTATTTATATTTCAATTAATAGAAAAATAAATATGAAAATAGAAAAAATCATATAATATAATAAATTTTGTATTAAAATTCTAAAATGATATTATGATATTATCTTTAATAAAAAAAAATACTATATTACGACACTTAATATCATCAGAAAAAGTAATATGCATCACTAGAGTATAACTATGCGTGGTCTGAAGTTAAAAAACTATGGTATGTTCAAGCGGTTTGAAGTCCGGTTTGGTTTTGAAACCATGAAATCATCATTTAAAATAAATCAACATCTCCTGGTAGTATATATGAAGGCAAATAAAACACCCACTTGAATATAAATTTTTTTATTAATGCTTTGGCAAAAGAGTAAAACATATTATTTGATTATTTGTTAGTGTCTGCATAGTATTAAATGCATACGTACGCTGTATAAATCCTAACTTTGATTCATAAACTAGATTCACATCCCACGTTGCACATGCAACTATGAGCACATTCAAAGTAATACTACACTCCAGCCGTATCGGATATATTCCAGTATAAAGCATAGTCCAAACAGAAGCATCCAATATCTACCTATTATTCATATCTTGCCGTAATTGAGTACTAGATCGTGATCCGCACATCTGTGAGGATTTTATTTTTTGGATGTATTTTATATAATTTAATTTTATATAGTTTTGAATTTATCCAATTTAGTTTATTTTTAATAGCGTCAAGCAGTATATTATGTGATGTAATTGTGCATTGAATACACTAATTTTGTACGTTTGTTCGAAGTGAAAAATCAAATTCAAACTTAACTGTTTATGTTAAAATATAAGTTGAGAGTTTAGTTATTTTTGATTTTAATAATTAACCAATGTTCTTAAAATAATATACAAATTTTTTAGAATTTTTGGTCTTAACTTTGTAAACGCAGAATATTTTATGATGAATATTTTCATAGATAACTTAACAAATCTTTTGGTAATTTGAAAGAATTTATATATTTAAAAAAAATCATTTAAATTAGAATGTTTAAATTCAACCCGAACCGCGGTTAACCCATTTAATACGATGATCTAATAATTCAATTTTGATTTTTTTAAAAATATCCATATTTAAAAAATCACTAAATCTGAGACTAATCAATTGAACCGATGTATAACTGATGTATGATATTTAAACTTGTAAAAATAAATTTATTTTCGTTGTTTATATATTATTTGAACTTTTTAATTTCTCTAAATAGTTTGAAAAAAAATTGTGACAAATTATTAAAAATGGTGAGATCTAATATTTTGTATTGTTTGGACATAATATCAATTTTACTGTTGTTTAGAAATATGTATAGTAGTATAAAGAAGTAATTATATTGTTTATCGACATGGATAATAGTATAAAAAAATAAAAGTATTGTTTGGAAACATGGATAGTAGTATAAAGAAAGAAAAAATAATAATTTAATATAGGTTTAATTATAAAATAGAAAAATATATTTATTTGAAAAACTTATAAAATAAATATTAAGTCCAACCTAATATTTCTTATTTAATAAGATAGATTCATGCTATACAACAACTATCCGTTTTATTCTATATGTTTTGTATTATTTTATCCGTCCAGTTGGTTGGTTGATTACTTGGTCATCACAAACCCCATATTTGCTGAAATATTTTAAATATTAATCGCTTGTGAAACTTTTTTTTTGGAATACAATCGCCAGTGAAGCTACATATATAGCGAATTTCATTATAAATAAAATATATAAACACAATTCAATACGGGCACTGTTGTTGCCTTGCTGATGTTTTTATCTGCTATCTGCTGATTAGACATTCTACTAGGTATGAAATTTATTGAATCTAATCTAGGATCATGTTTTTGATTCGAAATATGTTTCAATCTTATTTTAAAATACTGATGATAGTTTGGTGGCTTCTAGACTTAAACTGTAATTTCTTTTATTTTTTAAACTGGATATGTGTTTTGATCGATCCGGATTATGAAGTCTCTGAAACAAGATCCAATACCACGTAACATTCAGTTATATTAAATTTTTAGTTTCGTTGTCAACTGCTGTATACAAAGTTAAAGAAACTGTGTGTACACTAAAATAAATGCGTTTGGACAAAAAAAAAAGCGTCTGGACTAAAAATCCTACAATACTTACGGTAAGAGCATTTCTAAAAAGATGCTATATTTTAAAGTTTATAAAATTTTATTTTTAAAGTTTCAATGTGTTCTTCTCCAAAAAAAAAACTTCAAAACTAATTTTAAAACTATTTATATTTTATTTTATGGTCCTTATATTTATCATAATTAATATACATTATTTTTTTTATAAATAACTAGCACATATATGAAAAACATAACAATAATATTAATTAAACAATATTTGCTCTAAAATATAAAACTGTAAATAGAAATACATAACTAAATAATAAACTACAAACAAAATATCACATTATTTCATAAAATTATTTCCCTAATATTTCATTTTCAGTTACACAATACTTAGTTGGATAATATTTTGGAGATTTTGAAGGTTTAAGAGAAAATTTACCATACCATTAATATTGTTGTAATATTTAAATTTATGTAATAACTATGATTTTCATGTATCTATTTTTAAAAAAGTTTTTTTAAGTTTCTTTTGTAATATTCGTGAAGTCTAATTTTAGTTTTAAAATAATATAAATTTTATTTTAACATAAGTTTATAAAAAAAATCTGAAATATTTATAAAATATAAAAATTTGACTGATTAAAATGTTAAACGAGAAAATATTGAAAATCATAAGTATAATATATAATTAATTGTAAAGATTAAAATGCAAATAAAAAAATAAAATTTTAAATTTGAAGTTTTGATAATTGAAACTTCAAATATGAAGTTTTATTCCTCAAAATTTCAAATATGAAGTTTTATTCCTCAAAATTTCAAATTTGAAGTTTTGAAATTTCTTTTTGGAGAACCAAAAACTTTATATTTGGTGTTACAGAATGTCTTTTGAAAATGCACGAAGTGGACATCTTCAATAAAATCCAGCTTATATTGCAATTTATTCAACCAATTAAAACTTGGTAAGAGGATACAAATCGATCTCGCTAGGTTAACACAATTTGATTCACACTAGTCTTTTACAAAAGGAAAAAGGGTCCAAATCGATATGATATTGATCATGCAATATGTAACACATTTTAGTGTTTTTTTTTTCTAGCCGATGACGTGTGGAGTTACAACCATGAAAAAAATACAACATCTATCTATATTATTATTCGAAGTGTTTTTTTCGAATTAAAGCTCTTACATTTAAAATTAAAATGGTTAATATCACTTATATCTTTCATAAATAAAACATATAAATTACCTAAAAACGTAAACAAATTTAATATTTATTTGATTAGATAAGTGATTCGAATTAATAATAACAAAAGTTATCCATAATCTAAAAATATATTTTAAAGTAAACAGATATTTTCCTTATATTGTGTTGTTATCCAAAAAAAATATTTTTATAAATAATATTTTTTAATCAAAATTAAAAATTTCAAAAATAAAATACACATAATTAAATATTAATCAAATAAGATTTTTAATTTTATATACTTAAAAGAGATATTTAGAAACTTATAATACATAATAATTTTCAAATTAAAAGACTATAAAAATATAATGATATATATATATATATATGCAAAGTGATTTTTTCTCAT